TTCAATGATATTAGAACTCGGTTGAGGCAACTGAGAACAACTGACTATACAGACGCCTCATAAAGGAATTTTTCTGTTCCTACAGCCGAGTTTTCGTCTGATTCCTGAGCAACCGAAAATTCGATTGCACCAACAGAATTGTTTTTTCCGCGTACGTAGTAGCTGAACAAGAACTAGATTGTTGAGAGTTGAAGCAGTTTACTGTGCAATATGTGAAGCTGTGTTTTGCAAGACATAGCATCAGTAACATCAATTCAATTTTATAATGTGCACGTGTTATGTGATTTTTATCGTGAGTAAATTTGGAACAAATTTATTTGTATCGTTAAAAAGAGAAGTCTAAAATTGCGTGAACATTGAGTGTGGACAAGCATAGAGCAAGGAAAAGGAAATTGGAGGTATTTGACAATGTTAAAGAACTATGACAGAGATGACAATCAAAGTGACAAATGAAAATGAGCAAAAGACAAGTAGTTATACATATAATATAATAATATATTATACATGTAACTCCCATTAAGATTAAAATTTTTGAATTAGGAAGTACACACGGAAAATGAAGTACTACTAAATCTGCCCATTTTATAAGCAACAGACTTGACTATTGATCAGTTTGAATAGTTTTTTGTCCATCTTCCGTTCTATTTTCATTTAGTAAATCGGTTCAGATTTTGCTCATCTTTCGTGCACCGTAACTACAGGAAAAGCGTTATATCTTGATTGAAATATCAAATAGATTCACTCTTCAGCTACTAGACAAAAGTTAACATAACTGTCCAGTGTATAACTGCTCAAAAACTGCATTAAATTTCTACCAGGCAAATTATGATCAAATTACGGGGAGAAGGAAAAGCAACAACACCATTTCTGTTTTGAGACTACAAAATGCTTCATTAAATGCTATGTCAAGCGACAATGTCTGAATATATTCCGATGATTTTTCGAAAGTATACCCATGGGAATTTTAGAACCTGCGTCTCTATGGCCCCCTATGAAGCATTTTTGACTCCTTTACATTGGAAGAATATCTTCTTCGAGGAGGGACGAGAACAGGGTGAGCTCGCGCTTGTATGAAAGCAATTTTTTGATTGAAACCTTATGTTCCCGTCGTCGTACCCGTCACGGCAAACATTTTTGGGACACAACAGTCATAACAGTCACAATGTTTAGTTTATTTCATCGTCATCGTCTAACAACTCTCACAAGAACTGGGGTCACTGAAATCTAGGACCACTAAAAGATGGTAACATCACGCGAGAGGACACAAAGTTACGAGTCATTTCCGTTCACACTGACGAGGAATGCGCTTCTCATATCGATGCAACATGACGATGCGCCGGAAGTGCCGTGGAATCGTATCGTGATTCTTACCACGTTGCTTATCTCTCTCTCTCTCTCTCTCTTTCTCTCTGTCTTTCACGCTTAACGTAACGCGAGTACCCTCGTAATTATCGCGAGCTTGTCGCTTAGATTATAAACGACGCGTGTGCACACGACGCACCACACGACGGCATTGGATGCAGCAGATGCAGCAGCAGCAGCAGCAGCAACAGCAGCACGCGCGCGCTATTCGCGCCCGTACTCGTTGCACGAGAGAGTTCACTATCTCTCACTCAATTTAAGCCTCATCCGCCGTAAGCGGATCGACCAAGCTGGCCTTTTAACGTCGGATAGTCTCGCCTCTCCCGGCTCCGCGGCATAGACGCCCATAACAAACATTATCCGCCATAATGCCCCCGTGTAAACATACCTACCTACGTGGTGCATCAGCCTTTCGGCTCCTCTCCCCGCCCGTCTCGCGTGTAACGCGTTGCAGCCGCGTATAAAAACGCGGCCTCGAAGTTTATTTAACCGTTTAGTGGCGAGTTAAGTTTTGCGCGGTTAAGTCGACCTCTTTTGAGAAACGGTTCTTCCTTACCGACCTGGCGTACGTTACTTCCGGTTTAGCGGAAGTATCGATGATTCGCCGCGACGGGACACTTGTGTGTGTTTTCTGCTCTTGTTCCGACAACGATAACCGGTGACGAGTGGCTATCAATGTGGTACGTAATTATGGCTTTTGGGTACTCGCCGCGGCCATGTTGGATCGTGACGTCAGAGGCGAGAAATACACGATGAAAATTCTTGCGTGACATTTTCGAGTAAAAGACATAGTAAGACATTCTCTTTTAATAAACTTTAAAATTCTCCTAACAAAATTATGTGTCGTTGCTTATACATCAAACAATTATTATTAATTTGAATATATCAGTTTCGAATGGATACTAATTTATTTTTCTATGTAGGTTAAAGATAAAGTTTGCAATTCGAACAGAAATTCTAATCTTACTTTTGACCTTTCTAGCTAGTATTTTATAATGCATTCGATTTCAATCATTTTATGAATGAAAATTGCTTAACAGTATATCATATATTTGCAAGAAACTTTATTCTAGCTAGTTTAATACGCTTAATTTTATTCAGTTACGATGGGAAATATTAATTCAAAATTTTGAGTCTCAAAAATTTACTACTACTAAATTAATTTTTTCTATTTTGAACTGTAATATTCCGATTTTAATGAAACTCATGGAAAAGTATCAATGTTCTAAAAAGACCTTTTCGCGATTCTCTGTGTTCCTCTCAAGATAAATACTAAAAAAAGCACATAGCAATATACTCTTGGGGCCATTTAGATCCGGTTTTCATTACTCTAAAGATTAATATGTTTAAAAATATTAAATAACGTGACATAAAATGGCAAGAAACGTGTAAAAAGAGATTTATCCAAAATGATACACTCGGATTTGAAATGTAAGTTCTGAAAAGGATCTCTCGGCAAAGCTAGTAGGCTGAATAGAATCAAAAGAGGTTGATATAGGCTTCAGAGTATCAAAGCAGGCTTTATGTGGAATATTGAGATCGAAAGTAGGATCAAAATTTCGACTCGAGATGTCACATTAATTTCACGGCTATTTATTGACTGTCAAGGAAAAAGGATAATTTTCCGAGCATTTCACAAGTATTCTTTCACAAAGATATTTTTTACCTGAAAGCAGCACGCAAGAATTTTGAGCGTTTTCTTGCTTCTGATATTATTGATTAAAAGTTCTGCGACGAGAGAGTCTCACATTGCGAGTGTCACGTTACCGTCGCACGTGGTGTTCGCTCGTGGTGACGTTAACAAAGTTACATAAATGCGTGATTAATACAATTATCGTTTTCCTCGTTAGAGTGATTTCCGCGTCGGCAACATCGATTTTCGCGTACGGATTGCATAACGGGCCGTTTATTTCGAAGGACTCATCGCTAGCGCGCGCTGGCACACGTTCGAGCAAAAATCCAACATTTATAATGCTCGTTTCTGCAAAAATCACATGAGCTATCCGATAGGGCCTCTCCGACGGGTGGCCATTTCTTACGAATTCCCCCACCTCCGCAGCGAGGTCCCCACCCCCAACTTTTGGAAAGGGACCAGGTAAGGGCCCGGAGTGGAAAACTATTCAGTGTCGCTTGTAGGTTGGAGTTGGGTTTGACGCGGAGCTGAACTCTTGTATGTCAGGTATAAAGTTCGCGCGCGAATACTTAACAAGAAATAACGCGTGTTCAAGTGATTTATTGGTTTCTGTGACATATAAAAAAAAAAAATCAGGGAAGACACCTAAGTTGTAGATACCTAGTCATTCCGAATTGTATCGGCCTGACTCGCCGAAAAATCGTATATTCAAAGGAAATAACAAGATCAAGGAGTGTCAACTGAGTGTCTGTAAGAACAATGGGATCAAAGAGCTGCCTGAATTTGCAACACGCTCGTTAGGTTTTATACCCGGCGCCAGGACTTTGCGATGTGGAACATACCGACGATCGAGCACGTCAGTTGTTGTCGCGAGTTAATCGAGTGTTAATCATGAAACCGTCGAAGCGTGCGACGTGATATATATACTGTGGTTGCAGTGGGCTGAATGATATCGGGCTATACATGATGAATCGTGTCGAGATAATCTAGAGACGCAAATTTTTTCTCTACAGCTGTAAACGTGCGCTTTCCCTCGAGACGATGCAATAGTGATTGATCGTGATACGATCGACATCTCGACAAATTGGTAAATGTTTCCCCTTTCTTTTGACGTTTACAGACACGGAACAAAAGTTTTCTTTTTGAGCGTGTACACGGAGAAGGAGAATATTAATTCTCTTATATATAAATTCTCTTCAATTTTACTATTAAACCTATGTTTATTAACTATATTTTTAGTTATATTAAATTATATCTTCATATATCTGTATTATATTCTTGGTAGTGTAGAAATAGAAACTCTCAGCTTCATTTTATCTTGTTAAGAAACGCAAATTTTTTGATAGCACATTGTAGCTCTTAAGATACAAATAACATATATGAAATGAAAGGACAATAAATTATTGTAGAATGTCGATCTATTCCTCGGTTAGAAAATTCTGTAGCAATTTTTGTTATAAAATTCTCGTTGTGTATCTTACGATGTAACCATCAGGAGTGTTTTTTGTCACCGTTCGATATTTCGTAGAACAGTAGAAAATAAAAGACTAATATTTTATTGTACACTCAAATTTTCGAAGGTATAAAATATTGTTTACTTGTTCACTTATTCGTCACTTTTATTAAATCTAATAATGTAAACAGTAATAATATAAAATGTTATAAAATTTTTGTATGTAATATTTTTTATATTCTTCATAGTTTTTGTTCGTTTAAAATTAAATATTTGAGTTATTTTGTATTATTTGCTGCTTCACGACACAACCAAAGCCTGTTGGAATCGACATGAAATATTCGACGAGGTAACCAACGGTTCCCTCATCTTTTGTTTCTGGTTAAGTTTCTCGTTAAATGAACATATCATTGAGATCTATGAGAAACCTCGACACAGACTGTATCTATTTGAAGGATGCATTTTCGGCAAAAATTCTCCGATCAATCATTAGTTGCAAATAATAAAATCGTCATCATGACAGTGATAAAAAGAATGGTAACACGCTTTCAGGTGGAGAAGTATACGATCCGCGGCAGCGTGTTAAAAGGGCCGACGCCAAGGATAGCAACGGAGGATCCATCGAGGACACCTATTCACGCGGCGAACGGTACTCCCTCCTAGGGAGGAGAACAGCTGGTGGGCGGCGTGCAGGGCGGAGGTACTTGCGAGATAAGGGAGCGTGATAAGCGCGCCGCGGTGGCGGGTGAGCTGGCTTGCCTCGCAGGCTACATGGCGGGGTACCTGAGGGCGACAGGCTCGTCCTGCACCCCGACCGGAAGTCCTCAGTACCACCCCCACGCGCATCCGATGGGTGTCAGCAGCCATCCTCATCCTCATCCTCACTCGCATCCGGGCGCGCCGCATCACGCTCTGCCGACAACGTTCGCCCTCGCTGCACACGGCCATGCGCAACCCCATCCGCTGGAGCATACCTTGCCCGGGTACCCGCAAGGTGAGTCTTTTATTTGAATTCCGTGCGAAGAGGAACGACAAATAACAGCCCACACGTTTATTAGCGCGCGCCGAATTATTAAAGGGACCGAGTAAGAGAGCCCGGAGTAGAAAACTATTCATTGTCGCTTGTAAGTTGAAGTTGGACGCACAGCTGAGCTCTAGTATGTCAGATATATAAAGTGCGCGCGCGAATACTTAACAAGAAATAAAACGTGTTCAAGTGCAATATTTATTAATCTTTGTGTCAAACGAACAAAAAATCAGGCAAGACACCTAGGTGTAGACGAATTTCACTATACCATCCGTTGCTACACGGAAAGAAAAGATCCCACTGCTGTGGCTAATCCTGGAATTGTTTTGCTAGAAGTGTATTTGTTGCTGCAACTAAAGATTCGCTGCTGTAAATAAAATTTTTGCTAGCTATTGCTACATCGGTGTTTTATGACTAAATGTGTGCCTACTCAAAGAAATGTTTCACCGGTTCAGATGGAACTCTAAATTCTACTAACAGTTAAAATTTAACTGTTTTTCGCATTGGTTAGAAAATTGTCTATGGTACGTACAATTTACAGCAGCAGCGTTCTAGCAATATCTGCAAGCAAAGAAGAGTATAACTTTCTAAGGATTTTGCGACCGTTCGCGGATCATTTTATATTTATATTTTTTTATGTATTTTTCTTGGTAGAAACCAAAAATTATCAGTATAATAACGCCAGGAAAAAACTTAAAGAAAAAACTTAAGGAAAAAGAGATATATATAAAAAATGGAAAAAAATTGTTATTCATGTTGTTATAGAATCAGTGTTAGTTATGCTTCAATAATTCAAAAATTAATTTAAAGTTGGACGAGTAATATATTGTATTGCAGAACGTTAATTAGATTATATTTTTCACTATAATATTTATTATAACAAAATTTAATAATCTTATGAGAAATATGAAAACTTTAAACTACGATATTATATCATTATTGCTTTCCAACTAATCCTCTTTACGAATTATTTTGTATTTCTAGATTCAATTTATATTGAATATAATATATTGAAAAGTAATTGAGAACAAACTCATTTGAAATATCTCATTTGAAAAATCTCATTTGAAAAATAATAAAATAACGAGATTCTTCTTTTATTCAGACTTGGGACCGACAGTAGTGTAGTTGCATCTCCCATTTACACACACACACACACACACACACACACACGCACGTTCTATAACGTGAATATTTTTTCATTATATATATATATATTTTTTTTTCCTTAAGTCGGGCGTTATTATATTGATAATTTTCGGTTTCTATAAAGAAAAATACATAAGAATATATAAATATAAAACGATCCTCGCGGTCGCGAAATCTTTAAAAAGTTATATTCTCCTTTAGATGAGCGCGAGGGTTATACATTCGTTTGTCTCTTTTGTCGCTAGTATTTTTCGGTCTACCACTTTTATAAGAGATATGATTGTCTTTAATGGATACAGAGAGACTTTCATTGTAAATTTCACAAATAGTTCAGTTGGAAATTTTGTCTCCATTATCTAAGTTGATTAAATGCAAAACATATGCGATATCGCAGTGTTTTCTTATGTCCATTTTTTTGAGCGTATGTTATAACGAGATTTAGCTACCATACAGATTCCTGCTGCCGCGGTTAACTCTTTCTTCCGTGCAGAGGAAGCAAATCCAAAATGTGCACTGAGAGAAAAAAATATATCAACTAAAATTGTAGTTATTTCTAGCGACAACCATATTTTTCCTAGTAAAATAATAGTAGTGGCATGGTATAAAATTATTACCACTAACATTATAGCAGAATTGAATAAAAAATAGTTTTTTTTTACCTCACTTGTAGTAATTATTTCTCTGTGTGATTATAATTACAAATATTAGATATTTTTTTTCAATGTGTGTCTCTATAAACCGTCCAACAGAACTCATCCCACCGTATCGCGCGTGTTGGTTCAACAATGTCCTTCACTTAATATCCTCAGTCATGATCGTAGTAGTTCGCAAAATGGCAGGAGATTTTTCCACAGAAAGACGATTACAACAACGACTACCTACACGCGAGCATCCTGACACCTAAATCTACTACCGTGAAGATTCTGGGTATAGATTCTGCATTTCTTTTGTTGTCTCGATCCGGGATTCTTCTGTTTTCCGCAGGGTTTTGCCGCTGGTGTTTTGGTATACTCTCCCTATCCAACGGTACAAAACGGTCCCGTCCAGTTGGACGTTCTATTGATGCGCGCGTGCAGGTAGAAGAGTCTTGAGGTAATCGTGAGGTGGCGACAGCGGCAGTGTTTCGCCACTATTCGCGTTCAACTCCCGACGCTTTTTCGCGAGAGCGTCGCGATCAGAATCATGAAACACCCGCGGAACGCGGTGGCGAAAAGCGCCGACGGCGGCGGGGAGAGCGCGAGATTTTCGATGGTGATTAATCCGGCCGGCTAATCCAGCGAAATAAAAGACGAGCATTTAATCTGCAGCTCGGCGTTACAACGGCGCGACAGGTAGCGGCGCCGTATTCATTCGGCAAACCGTCGCGGATAATCGCCGCGCTTAAAAACGGACTCCGCTGAAATTCTTTATCCTTTCTTTTTTTTCCGTTTCGTTTTTTCCGTTTCATTAACCAAACGATTTTTTCCCCAACTTTGGAGTCACTCTTACTTGCGTCGCGATACGCATTTGCGTGAAGATTCCAGGAGAAACGGACTGAAAGTTTCACGATAAACTGTCGAAGCGGAGCTTCCCCGTGGCCATTAGCAGGGCCGTATTAATCCGCGACGGATCTGGAATTCATGTCATGGCCCGCAAAAAGCGGCGTAATTACACTTCGAGCGCCGTTCTGAATCGCGACATGACGATGACGGTTACGGGAAAATTCTCACTCGTCACAAAGTCCGGGTCAAAGCACAGGTTTGGAAACGCGGGAAAAGCAATTGGCGCCTCTGGCCTCCTAGGATTACTATACCTGCTCTTTGTTTGTCTTTGCCTCTTTATACCCTTGGACCTTTAGACCCGTCAGAGTCTTGCCTTTCAGCGCGGCTAACGCGCGACATCAAACAAAAATAATGAAGTTACATTTTTGTCGTCCGCATTATCATTTCATTACTGCAAGATGCTGCACGACGTGTATTATGCGTTCACATGTATATACGTGGATGTGATTACATTTAATTAGTGATGTGTCTTTTCTTCGAACGGTAACACGCCAGCGGCCGTCGCTGTGAGAGTATTTCACGTGACCGCGCCATATTCGCCGTTATTGATTGCCGTGCAAATCGATGCATCGATTGAAACCGTACGAGACCGCCGTGCAATCTCGGGGCTTCCCGACTGTAGCTATCGCTGTGACTCGAAACAGCAGTGGCTGCACCACCGCCGCGTCAACTGATTCTTAGGGTAAACGCAAAAAGACGCGAAATGATTTCGCACAGTGACGAGCGACACATTTCCATCGGGAAATACGATCACTTCAGAATTGCGATCGCGAAATATCCGCCGCCGCTGGGATTCGCTAAAATCGCCGAGTCCCGGTGAAAACGAATATTCGCGGGAAACCCGCTCGTGAGAGCGCGGCTGACGTCCATTACGACGCATTTCATGACCGCTAACCGAAATCTCGGACGCCCACCCACAAAGAATCCGGGTGAGCTCGACGTTTCCCGCACACCATTTAAACCTCGCGAACGAAAAAACCCAGATGATCGGCCGCGGTGCGCGAAGCAGAGAGAGAGAGAGAGAGAGAGAGGGGGGGGAGGGGAGAGAAGGGACAGAGAAGGCAAGAGCAATCTCGGGCAGAATTCCCACCGCGGCCTGGTACCACTCTCGAGGTCGCGCCGCCGGGTCGGTAATTGACTGCATAAATTTTCCAGTGTGCCACCGATGTCGCAGCGCACATACACAGAAAGAGATCGCTACCGAAGTAAGGAGAACGGAGGGTTGAAGCGAGGGGCGACTGTCGAAGGTGGAGAAAAAGAGAGAGAAAGAGAGGATGAGGAAGGAAGACAGGAGGACTATACCAGTACAGCTGAACACGAAGTGGAATAGAATAGAACGGACAAAGTATGAGAGAAAAAGACAGAGGAGGAGAGAATAAGGTAGAATGAGAAATAGCAGAGAGAGAGAGAGAGAGAGAGAGAGAGAGAGTTTTCGCATCGGTTTCTTTTAGCGGCACGATTCGGCGAAAAGCGTCGTCGTTGGCGTTTTCCTTCGCTCTTCTCTTTCCTGACCGTCTTTCGCCTTTTCGCCCTCTTTCTCGCGCAACTCGAAAGGGGTCCCGGCCGCTGAGGTGTGCGGGACGCAGAGCGGCGGGGGAGGGGAATGAAGGGGGGAGGGCAGGGTGTCGAGGAGATGGAGTGGTTGGGGGGAGAGGCCGGGGGATGCTTCGGCGAAGAAGAGTGGAGAGAACCATGAGAGTAAGCCGCTTATCAGGGTGGCAGCAGGCAGTATAGGTCCAACCGACGCAGATAGGTGGGTTTCCATGGAAACACGGATCTGTCCGTTAGGTCCCTGCGTACCTACGTCCAGCCGCCTCTATCCGTTGTAGGCGTATCCGCGCTACACGAAAAGCTGGCGAACGAGAGAGAAACAACGAACAACGGGGTCGACGACGACATAACGCGGGGGTGTGTGGAGGTGGAGGTCGGCGCGCTAGAGACGGAATAGAAACAAAGGGCGCGGACACGCGAAGGGAATAGCGCGCGCAACTCTTGCCGCCGGAAACTTCCGTTTGTATTATCCACGCGTGACGAAACAACACTTCCGACGTCGTCGCGTTTTTCGACGTCGGACGGCTTCAGAGCAGTGTCCGCGTTCTCTCCGTTGCGACACCCCATCTTACCACCCTAACTTTCGCGGGAACCGATATCTGCACGGGGAAAAAATTTTAGTTCGTGTAACTGAATGGAGACCAGACGAGAAATAACATCTTTGTTACTGCGACTGAAAACATTCGTCTGAACATTCAGTTGTATGAAAACTCGGTAACTTGTAGT